GATCTCCTCGACATCCTGTCGAATCTGACATTAGCTTCGACTCAATCAGACTCCCATTGCGTAATCCACTTTGAGGGCGCGATCCAATTCGACTCCGACTGGGTGGCCAGATTGTTGGAAAGTGGAAGGTTGGAACGGAGACGGCATTCAAGAGTGGCTTCTTGTGGCGCCAACAACGCTGTTCCATGCCGAGACTTGACAGTCTAGCCCTGCACTGCAGAGCGATTGGCACTTTGCTGCAACAGACAAAACGGTTCGGTGCGCCTCCCTTACGACGTATTTCGAGCGTCATGCCAAAATCTTCTCCAACCCGCAATCGGCGCTCGAACGACCAAGCAAACGATCAACACCACCAAGTGCCCAAACCATGTCACACTTGCGCTAGAGTCATTACACCGCGGGCCAAATGGGAGCGTAATTGGGATGAGATTCGCTTCTGTTCATCGAGCTGCAAATCCCAAAGACCAGGAAAGCTGGTCAGATGGCAGGCATCAGACTCAAGTGAGGCTAATTTCCTCGCTACGCCCTCTGCACTGTCCATCAGCACCACACACGAAGCGGATCTCTTTGTCACTGATCTGGAGGCCTGGGTGGAAGCGGCGCTGTTTGAAACGGCAAAGAAGAGCGCAGAAGGCAGACTCGCTACTTGCGAGGACGTGGAGGCTCGCTTGACAGGTGAACTCGATGCTCTTGCGCATAATGTGGCCATTTCTACAGGGCAACAGGAAGGACCCACAATTGGAGCGGATCCCGACAACTGCCGCCAGACTAGAGACCACCCCTTGTCCTCTGCCCTGCGTGCGCCTCCAGGGCAAAGGGAGCGCGTTCGCCGAGCAGCTCGCAGACTTGCCATTCTTGAATCGAGTCTTTGGGCACTTGCGCGCCTTCAACACATCACGTTCAAAGGCCACGTCCAGCTGTTCCAAAGAAATAAACAGCTCACAAGTTTAGAAGACGTCAGCTTTGCCAAAGGCCCAATTGGACTGCATTGGAACGAGAATGACGCGGTGGCGCCTCCATGACGTGGACAGGCGTCGCTGCGTTCCCACCGCGAGTGTCCAC